ATGTAAGTAAGCTAGTTCTATTTATTTCTGACACTATTATTAATTAAATAATTCTTATTATTAAAATAGTTACTATTATAATGATTACTATTTAAAAAATCACTCTAAACAACTATATTTTCGTTTATTGTTACTATTAGTTTGACCACATAAGTGTCTTTTTTGTCAATAAAAATCATGGAAATAACTATAATAAATATATATTAACTTTAAAATTAAGCAAATTTTTTTTTTGATAATAACCATTATAATAGTTATTTCTCTTCTTACCATTAGAATGTTAAATTTATTTTATACCATATGCGCTATTTAAACTATCAATACTTTTGTTATTTTTTATCATTGCGTTGTCAGAATTAAGAAGCTTTAATTTTGGATTAATGTAATAAAGTTTTATATAAAAGCAACTCCTTAATAACATAACAAACAATATGACAAATGTGGTCCAACACAATTCTGTGTAAAAAACTTGCAGGAATCGGTGACCCGACAAGTTTCCTGAAAATTCCATACATTTAACATATTCCGAAAATTAACTGAAATTAGGAGCTCCTACAAAAATGTTGCAGAGAAAATTTCTCGTCGTTTGCTGTAAGAGATTGAAGTTCAGAAAAACATATTAATACTGTAACGCTCTAAAAAAAAAAAAGGTTTGAGTTCAAAATCCATGAGAAATGAAGTGGTATAAAGTAACAAAGTTTAGTACAATCCAGCAAAATCTATGATTTGATCAAGAATTAAAAAAAAAATTTAACTAAACATCACTCTTTTTAAAGTATTTTTACATGGATCCTTACGTTTTTACATAAGCTGTGTCAGCCATATATATAGCCTTAGTATTACTAAGAAACTTTAATTTGACTTTTGTACATTGTTTGTATGTTTTTTTTCTACAATTTATTTATTAGTTGCAAATTACATAACTTGGTGGATTGAGCCAATAATTTCACTGAATTCTACAAGAGAAGTAAGATCACAATTTAAAACAATTTCTATCTTAGTGATATCAAATATCTTCATTCTGAATAAAGGCATTGACCATGAAAGTTCGTACGTATTTGCATTAAGTTTGTTTACGGTCTTGCGGAAAAAAAATTCATTTATATGCTTTAATACCAACCTAACTTGTTGTGCTTATGCGCAATATGCATCAATTATTATTCAATAAAAATAATATTATGCATCAACAGTCTGACTGTAGCTAAAATGAAAACTGGTCTTCTACGAGGGAAGCGCTTTTAAGCACTACTAATATAGTGCAGTTTTATACATCGCAGTATTTTGTCATATAAAGCATAGAAGAACTGTTAGAGTTTTTTTCTATCATTTACTACTAGATTTTTTATTGTATACGTTATACAATAAAAAGATGTGACGGATATCTTTATTATTAATTATTGCATCTGTGGGTGGACGGTATAAATTTTTCAGCCAGCTGACTGTGACCGTGTTAATGGCAATGAAAAAATCTTAACGGGGCCAAAGAAATATGACGAAGCTCGGTAAAAAAAGTTTTCACATAACACTATGAGGTGTCAAAATTAACAGTCTCACTTTTAATAAGTTCAAGTAGTAAGTTCAAGTAATAAGTTTAATAATAAATAGTAATAATGTACATCTCCATAGATATTGAGAGCTTAAGACAACAAAACTATGGTAATTTAGAAGCGAGCAAGCACGCAAAGTGGCAACTAAGCGAGAAAGACGCCACGTTATGTGAGGTGGCACGTGAAACTGGTGCTTTCATGAAAGAGAACGTG